TAATAATAATAATAATAATAATAATAATAATAATAATAATAATAATAGTAGTAGTAGTAGTAGTAGTAGTAGTAATAATAGTACTATTGGTTGTCATTCTTTTATCTTTATAGAATGTAATATCTTATCTTTATCTATGACCACAAATTTGTTGTTGTGGAAACAAGATGGCAGTTCATTAGGAAGGCAGTGGTGGATTTTAAGCTTCCCCTTTCTGTACTATAGAAAAAAACATTCATAATGTTTGTTAATTGTAAAGAACCTGGGAGAAGAGTAATTTTCTTCTGAGAGGTAGTCCAAATAGGCAAATCCACAAAATTACAACATCTTGTAGGAGATTTACATGTTTCTCTGATAATTATTTATGATTTTACAGCAAGTAGTGACCTATTATTTTAGCTCTTAGTGTAAAACCCAAAAAGATTTGTTTTAAAAACTGCATTATTTAGTATAATTATTCAATGTCTTGAAATAATTGATTCTGATTCTATTATCCTATCTGTATTATTCTGGATTTATATTTCTATAAACAGCTTTATTTTATATGTTTACAGGGACTTTAACGCATTCCTCTTTTTAATGACCTTTATTGGATTTTTCTATCCACAAGAGGGAAGTCCAACATAAGGAATATCTACTCAAGGTTTTCAACTTTGAAACAAAACATAGATTAAGACATTTAGACTGGGGAATTGCTTAGATGTTTAGTATAAAGTTCAAGAATAGTTGAATGTTTTCTTTTAAGAGTTTAAGGCTAACCTTTTGCATTGCAATATTTTTTTTCTTGTATTATCTGCCACTTATATACAATATAATACTGTATATTATATATACAATATTGAGTCTATTGATTTTTTGTTTCTGGGTGTAAAATTGCTTTTTAGCTATCAACTCTAAATAGGAGATGACATTATAGGAAATAAAATTTTAAAAAACAGAAGAGATCCCACATTCATTACAATCAACCTGCTTTACTTTATTGTGAAATATATTCTCACAGATTAATTGCATTATACTGGAATATAATATTATCAATAAATTAAAACAAAAAACAAAAAAAGATTTAGAAAAATTTGATCATACATTTGTGGTTTTAAGGGTGACTTTAATGATGAATACAAGAAATTAATGGACACCAAAAGTTCTTTTCAGTTCAGAGAACCCCCAACCCCATAAAAAGTTAAACATATCCAGAGGTATATTTAAGAATTATGGGAAATATTATTTTGAAAGAGAAGTGGGAAATTTTCTCAAAACCCGATGTGAATATTGATCAAATTTTAGAAATACAAGAGATTTTCAGAATAAATTCATAGACAGAACAAAAAAATAAAATGCTACATCCTTCTTAAATTCACATATTTCAAGACAAAAGAAGCAGTATTAGAATAAAAAGGAAAAATACTCCCTTAGAATTCAGAAACAGAATAATTGAGATTCTGTCAAAAGTACCTCCAGATATTCTTAGAAAGAAGGAAAATGACAGCTTTTTGACAATGGCTCAAAAAAAAAAATCTGATATGGAGGTCCATTGTCTTTCATCTACAGTATAGGTCTTTATGTTTGATGGCAAAGCTTTTGTATATTCCACCAATGATGCCAATGGAATACTCCAGTCATTGGCTGTGAGAGAGTAAGGTAGTAAAGGCAGAGAAGAGACAGAAAACGAAGCTGTACAAAGTAGCTGTTATTTCTTGTTAAATTATTTTTCAACTAATATTAATAGTATGAATAGCTAATTTAAAAAGAAAAATAACTTTTTGAAAGTCTAAAAGGAAAATGCATATATTATAGATCTTCAAGATTCCCATAAAGCTGTCAGAATAAAAATACTTTTATATTTGTGGTCTTAAGCAGATAAGAAGAAATGGATAAGCTATATATTTGAATATTTAAATTTGGAATTTGAAAAACAAAATCAAGATGAACCAGGGAAATTTATATATTTTAAGGCTGAATTTGAGAAAAAACCAATTGATACAATTTATGCTGGGAGCTAAGTATATAATTTTGTAACTATATAGTCAGAATTGCTGGAGTCAAAGTTTAGTGTTTACTTTGAAAGAGGTTTATCTTTGCTGGAGTTCTTCCCATGGACTCTCCTCAGTTATCTTCCTGGAATGTATGATTAACTATCTTGGCTTGCTTCGGAACTCTCGTCAATGCGGTTTGTTTTGGTTTTCTTTTTGCCTCATTATTTACTTTTGTGACTTTAAACTGTGCCTAATAAAACAGTGAAATTAAGTTGAAGGCATTACCAGACTTTAATGTATGTTTTGGGTTATTTTGAGAGACTATGGGTCATCACAGGCAGGGGAAGGACACTGCAAAATCCCCATTCCCTCCCCTCCCCACTAACCTGCTTTCCAGCTTCGTTCTCCTGTGCAGGGCAACAAAAGAACACCCAGCCGATCAGCTGGGACTCAGGAAGCAGAGAATAGATGGGGGTGGGGCCAGTCAGAGGTGATATATGCTGGATCTCAGAACTCTTCAAAACTTCTGCTACCAGTTCTCCAGAACTGGTCAGAACCTGCTGAATACCACCTCTGCATGCATGTGATAGTAGCAGTGCTACATACACCTAATATTATCTTAATAATTGTTACACAATTATTACACAAAGAAACCTCCAGATTGAAGAGGTGGGAATTTAACAAATTTGTGTTAGTACAAGTGGATATGAAATTGAAATGACAAGAATTAAAAAGCTTCCAAACCAATTTAATCTAATGTGTTTTTATCTACAGTATAGCACTCCAGCAAAGCACTTATGAAAGGATGTGTATCTTTCTGCCTTAAAACAGAAAGAAATCTATGTAAAAACAGCAATTAAACTAAAGCAATTAGAATTATGAAACAATCATCTATTTTTAAAACAAAAAATGAAAGAAATTTATAATCAACTCAATTTAATGGAAGTAAATGAGAACCATAAGAAGTTGAATTTTTTTAAACAGAAATATTTTGAAAAAGGTCAGATAAATCGTTGCCTTTCCAACGCAAAAGGAGCAGGACAAAATAACTGTTACCTCTATTTGGATGGAGCAGACCAATGTACATGATTCAGCAATTTGTTATATACTATTAAAGATCATAGTGAACAATATTTGGTGCAGAAAAGATTAAAGAGCATTTGAATACAATACTACTCATAAAGCTTATAGATTAAAAAAATTGTAATAAAGATATCATTAAAAAAATAGAAACAGAACAAAGTTCCAGGGCATTATAGTATCTACTGAATATATTGCATAACTTTTCCAGAAATTTTAATTAAATTGTTAACTCAGGTATTGAACGAGATTCCAAGCATCAAGAATTCCCTACATCATGGAAAGAAGCTTTCGTCATCCATTTATTGATCAGTGTAGATAAAACATATGCCTTAGCAAGACGTTTAGGAGTATTCCATATAGATCTATTATATAAATTGTATCAAATCAGGAAACTATACAAAAAGCAGCAGTTGCAACAAGTATCAAATAGATTTGTATTTATGTACCTTTTAATGTCATTAATAAGTCTGTTCTTTTCCTGGACTACTCTTTTATGATGCATTCTATGGAAGTCACGCTCTCTTTGCATTTTTAGCAGTGCATCTTTAGCTTTACTGCATGGAAACAAAAAAAAAATGATTTCTAAATATATATCTATGATTTAGGGAAGTAAAGCATCTATCATGAGGACTAGCCATCCTGTATCAGAAAGATATTCTTAAAATCTCCAATAAAAGAAGCACATTAGCACTTGATCTGGCTCTATTGCTTGTCCTGGTTTCATTTAACCTGTTATTTGCATTCCTCATTTGTTTCTGTCAACAGTACATATATGTTGTGGTTAGCCGGCAGGAGGTGCAGATGGCTGAGGAGAGCGATGACTCTGATGAGGGGCCAGGACTATCAGGGAGTGGGCTGCTGCCTTCAGAGATTGTGAGGGCTGGCAGCAGTGACGAGGAGATTCCCAAGGAGCCTGTGCCAAGTGCATGTGCACGAAGGATTGCTCGGAGAAAAGAACAGTTACAGCAGCACAGGCGACTCGGGAGTAAGGCTGCAAGGTGATGGCCCCTCCCTCAAAAGGATAAAAGCCAGGTTTGAAAAAGCGTTCTTTGCAAACAGCAAAGCTCTTTTTTTTTTTTTTAAACAAGTTTTATTGATTTTTCAAGACAAACAAAACATATATAACCTCCTTTCCAAGAACTACCCATAAACTTCAACAAGACAAACAAAGCATTATTCTTTAAAACATGGTTCCACATTATCACACTTGAAGCAAAACATTGGAGAAAAAAAAAAAAACCTCCTTAGTTATCATTTATACATATCTTTTCCCAATTTCTCTCCCTTTAATTTCATTTCTCCAAGATTTTATTAATTTAGAATCAAACATAATCCACACACTAAACGTAAAACATAAAACTTCTTTGAAAAGTGACTTGGCCCCAGGTTACATCTTTTTTGACAGACCTAAATCAAATTCATGCCCATCTTATATACCCTTCATATCTTATTAACCATTTTGTATTTTCTATATAACTTCTCCCATCTTTTCACTCTCTTAATTATATTTTATTTATTTCATCTTATTTCAAAGTCATTATACTTATGTCTTTTGTCCGTTCTTTAGTAAACATCTATGTATCTCTCCCCTTTAACCAAAAAATTTCCCCTGTAATCGCTTTTGAAGTATGACGCCTTCTCCTAAAATAAAACTTAAAATAATACATAATTTCCATTCTGATTCTGCTTAGTACCTTCTACATATTAAATCTTAAAATGAAAGAATAACAAACTTATAGTATAATTAAATATATAATTTCTATTCTAATTCTAGTTCTCATTATTAAACATTAATATTTCATTAAATATTCCAATAAACTGTTCCAAATACAAATACTACAATACTATCTTATGCACTCTTGCAGAATCTTCTTTAATTATAAGCTATCTATCATCCTTCATCTCTAAAGAAAAAACTTTTTTTAAAAAAATCTTGTCCTAACCCGTGGCTTTTTTTTTCTTTTTCCCTCCCTTTCTTCTCCAATCTGGTCTTTTTGCCCCCTCCTCTCCTCTCCCCCTTTTTAAGTTTCCCTCTCTGTTGTAATTCTATTTTCAGTTGCTTTCTAACATTGTACCTTCTTTTCATCCTATTTTTCTTTTTCTTGGTTGTTTTATTAAATCTTAAATTCTCCTTTTCCCTTCCTTCCTTCCCATTTTCTTTCTTAATCAAACTTTTTAGTCCATTAAAGATGGCTTCTTCCTTTTCTTCTTCTTCTTCTCCTTCTCCTTCCTCCAGTGTTTGCTGGTACGTAGAAACCGCCATTTCTAAAAAGTGGAAGGCAGCTCCCAAAGAATCCTTGCCACTTTGTTGTCTTTCTTTTAATTTTTCATATTCCATTTTCAGTTCATCAACCGGTGGTACCATTATAAGTTCTTTTTTTAAAAAAAACAACAACAACAACCCAGATGCTTTCAATCTTGAAGTAATTTCCAAATGTCAGAGTTATCAAACAATCCAAACAAGCAAAACTTTTTTCCTCTTCTTCTCTTTACAGTTTTTTCTCCAGAGGCAAAATCCCAGATATATTTTAAAAGCCGTATTTCCATTAATTAATGGTCTTGAAATCTTCAAGGCGTCTCCTCCAGCAAAGTTTAGAAAAAAAAGTGTTTTTTTTTTTTTTTTAGTCCTCCCCTTCCCACTTATAACAAAGAGCTTATTTTTACCTTTAGAGAGCAGGTTTTTCTGTGCTCCTTTGCTTTCTCCGTAGGGAGGGGTAGTGAGCTTTCCTTCAGCACTTTTGCCGATGTTACAAATTCTTTTGGAAACAAATGTATCAATCCAAAGTCAGGTTTCCAGGGTGTTTTAAAAGTAACATCATGTCCTGGTTTAGCCAAGAAAACTTCTCCTTCTAAGTCTTCCTCCTGCACAAACTTGTCCGGTTGAAGAATCCTTCATGGCTGCCGAGACAGCCGCTCATCCGTCTCGGGAAAAAGGAGTCTAGCCGGCTGGGGAGGGGGGGTGCGATGTCCCCAGACCCCTGCTCGGATCTCCTCTGTCTTCCGCTGCCCCTTCAGGGTAGCGACAACCCCCAAATCCAGTTGGATCGGGGGTACCTTGACGGCGAGCACAGCAGGGACCCGCAGAGAAGCGGATTCCTGCCGTCGACGAAGCCTTACAACCCGGAAGTGTGAGCAAAGAAGCTCTTAAACTCAACTGGTGGACATCTTAGTTCGTGTTTGGAGTATTTTGTAAATTAGTTCTTATCTCTGGGTTTTTGACAGCCTTGACAAACAACTTGGCAAGGCTCTTTCTTGTCAGAGCTAAATAATGGAAAGCAGCCTTTAGAACAGAATTCGCTATTAAACCTTAAAAGATGGGGGCTGCTGCCTTTGTCTGTGTTTGCTCTTTGGGAACCCGGTTGGGTCAGAACAATATAATGGTATATTCTACAGTAGATATATGGCGTGTTCTCTGTTATTTTTGCATGGATTTTGTTGCTAGCCTCTGCATTTTCCTTCTTTTCTTACTATCAAAAAATTTGTGACATGATTGAACTTTGACTGAGTGAACTTGCCTTTGCCTAACAACTTTGTTCTTTTCCTATTCATGTGAACTCTGTGCACCCTACAATTCACTGAAAATCAGGGATGGGCAGACTTGATAGAAAGTCATCAGTGGCTCCTTTGGGAGTTAGTCCTACACATATCTGGAATTAAATTCAGGGAAATTTAACAAGAACCCAATGCATAGGTTCTTAATAGAGTACTAGAAAAAGAAGTTTACTTCCATTCAGTTGCATCCGATTCTTGGAGACTGACTGGACAAGTCCCTGCAGTTTTCTTGGCAAGGTTTTTCAGAAATTATTTGCCATTGCTTCCTTCCAAGGACTGAAAGAAAGTGACTGGCCCAAGATCACCACCTGGCTTTGTGTCTTAGGCGAAACCAGAACTCACAGTCTGCTAGTTTCTAGTCTAACTACTAAACTGGCTCTCCTAACAATATTCTTCAGAGGAAATAATTTTCTATGCCGAGATTCTATTCTAATTTTCCATGCTTGAATTAAATGTAAAAACTGGTTTAAAGTAATTCTTTTTATTATGAATGAAATAATAATAGCACTTAAACTTGTATATTGCTCCATAGTGCTTTACAGCATTCTCTAAGCAGTTTACAAATGTCAGCATATTGCTCCCAACAATCTGGGTCCTCATTTTACAAAACTCAGAATGATGGAAGGCTGAGTCAACCTTGAGCTGGTCAGGATCAAACTCCTGGCAGTGAGCAGAGTTAGCCTGAAATACTGCATTCTAACCACTGCACCACCACAGCACCTAAAATTAGTATCCTCAGTTAAGTAACTTCTTGCAGATTATTTATTGGGCTTTCAGTATCCATCAGTTTCAGAAAATTATTGCTGCTGCTGCCATATCCCTAGGCAAGTTCCCCACCCTCAAGAATAAAAACAAGAGATGCAAAATAATTGCATCTCTACTTCCTACTGTCTTTAGTGCCATTGTGGATTTTGCCTCTGATATAAAATGAATGTTTAATATTTTATAGAGGGTTATTTTACTCTGTGTTGACTTAATAATTATATCAGGTTTTTGTAATCATACAGTAATATATAAATAGAAGATGTACATTTTCATTTCAAATACTAACAGAATTTAAAATTCAGGGGGAAAAAATCTGAACATTCTAAACATTTCCATTAAAACCAATGCAGTATAAAATAAAGTACACCAATGTCTTTTTATATCCAGTAATGCAATGTATCTGTATCCTATCACTACTTTTAAGTTCAATAGAATCCTAAACAATGCAGGATAAGGGAACATTAAAGACCATAGAGTCAGGTGAAAAAACAACACTTTGAAATGTTTGACTTTTTCAACACATTTCAGCATACAGATATTTTATCTTCATTTCAAAAATGTTGATAGATAAAGGGTATATAATGTAATAAATATTACAAGCACTTGATCTCCCAGTAGCTTCTGGTCAACCAATAAAAAGGAGTAGGGAAGATACTCTTAGAGGTTCATCCTTGAGGGCTGCTATTGTGAAGGAAAAAAAAGGGCACATACCTTCTCTGCTTTAGAATAGCACTCTACCTGGGGTCACGCTAGCAACAGCTAAGAGACCTGGTTGTTCCAGAAGTCCTTGGAGAGGTCATTGTATAGTATCCCCCGCCCCCTGAAGTAGGCAATTATTGTTTTGGGGATTGATGTTTGTTTTTTCTTTTAATTCTATCTACAGTAGTTCACTTTTACATTATTGTAAGCTACTCAGAGCCTTTTTAACTGAGCAGCATTGCAGAAATAAATTAACTTGGGTATTGATGGATTAATAGCTATTTAACCCATTCTTTACCAGACTTGCAAACAACAATACTGCCATTCAAAACTGATACCTTCTACAATCTGATATCAGTATTTTTTTTCATTCAAATTCCTAAGGAAATGTAACCCAATAATGACAAGAACATACTTAGCTGCAAATTTATAGTTCTCCATTTCTTTCTTCAAACTTATATTTTCCCTCTCCAAATGCTGATTGCAAGTATAGGCATCTGGAACAAATCCAACATCTTTAGGTTCAAGCACACCTCTCTGCATCAATTCATACCTAAAATTAAACAATTGAACTTTAGTTTTTTTTTCACTCCTCTTGGTTATAAGGAGTACATATACCATAAGCAGGAATCCATAGAACAGCACAAACTCTTTTTCTTGATTGTGGTTACTTTAAATAGGAGCTCCTATAGTTCAGAACTACATTTCTCATGGTAAGTGAAATTACCCCCCAAAACAGAACTCCATGCCTTAACTTAATACCCTAAGTACAATGAAACAACTGTTACTTCTCATTATTTTTTGAGAGGTCAAGAGAAAGAACATGGATAGGACGTACCAGTCAAATATCTACAGAATGCAGTAATCTATCAGATTATAAAAGAAGAAAATAGACATACTGTAATCTTATTGGAAGATTACAGTTTAATCTTATTTCCAATGTATTGGAAATAAAGACCAATACATATTTTGGAATAATACATATTTATTGATCCATGGCTTCCCGTTGCACAGAAAATTGTCAAGATAGTTGTATCGCTTCTTAGTATCCCATCTTTATTTTTACAAATAATTCCAGGTGCTGAACATTATCAATATTCCTCCGCCTTCCTATTTTCTCCAGAACAACAAACCTGTAGGGTGGGGTGGGCTAAGAGACAGTGACTGGCCCAACATCACCAAGCTGGATTTCATGGCTAAAGCAGGACTAGAACTCATGGTCTCCTGTTTTCTAGCAGGAAAACACAATTTTCTCCCACAGAGTTCTCTGAAGTCTTCAAACATTATAGCCACTCATATTTTGTTCTTAATCTTCCCAATCCTCTTTTTGCTATCCTTTTTCTGCTAGCATCAAGCTCTTTTGAAACTCCTAATTTCCAAATCTACCCACCCTTCTTCCCCTTTGGCAGGCACAATGTACAGGCACAGTGTACATACATCTCACATCCCCTCAATTACAGCTGGCCATTTTTCCTGCTAAAACGGATTAGACTGGTGCTGCAATTTAGAAAATCTCCAGTCTAAGCAGCACTTTTATTAGTTCCAGTTTTTTATTTTGCATTGCATAAACTTATGGATGAACAGGGTTATCTTAGGACTGTTTTAGACTTTACAGTCCAGATTAACCATCCATCTTAGGATATGGAAGAATGGAACTAAATTTTAAGCAGGAGGGATGATGGTTTGACCTTTAAAAATATTTTTATTGACTTGACATTTTAAAATATTGATTTCTAATTAATGGGCTACTTAAAACTTACAAGGAGAAAAATATCCCCAATATGAAATTATAGAAACAAAAACAAAAAGTAACATTCCAAGTTTCAAAACAGAACAGTAATTTGAAATACAAGATCTCCTATTTAATTAAGAAAGTTTTACCATTCAGTCTGAAAGCAGTCTAATGTCCTGTTCATTCCCATTCTGATTAAAAAATTGCAAAGAAAGTCATCTACAATTTCAGGTGTTTCAGACAAAGATTGTTTAGTGATCTGGCCTGGCCGTTGAGCCTAGAAAGAAAAATTCAGGAGACATTTTAGAAACACTATCTGCCTCATCAGACATTTCCTTGTTTTAGAAAAATATTTTTTTAAATCAGAGACTACTTTTTTGTACATTACAGAAAGATATATAGGCTAATGATAGTTTATTTCTTACCATACCATCTTTCATAAAGATACAGTAGTCATGAATCTATCTCAATGAACTGTGATTAACAACTATGTGCAATAGTCTGGAAATTAACTTTGTCAAAGAGTAGCCAAACATCAGGAATGATGTTGGATACTATGATATGAATATTTTAAATATTGTTCTCCATCCTTGTTCACCTTCTAATAGGATCACCTTTTATTCCTTTGACTCCTCTCCTATATGACGCTGTCCTACAAGTCTGGGAACAGCTAGATGGCAGCAAAGAATTAGATTAGATAGCTTTTTTTCCCTACCATCACAATGTTAACAGACCAAATGTAGTAGTCCTACTTTTTTGATTGCCTTGTAAGGGACAGAGTAGATCTTATTTAAGAGTATGGAGGAAGTGTCTGTGTTGGTTTGATGAATACAAATCTAATACCATACTTCATTGTAATATGTATGTGTGTATGTATGTATGTATGTATGTGTGTGTGTGTATGTGTGTATATATATATATATATATAT